CAAGAATCAAGGAACACTACAAGCTGGAAGGAGCAAGGAACAGACTCTCCTTGGAGACCGCAGAAGGACAAAATCTTGCTGACATTTTTGATTTTAGCCCTTTAAGGCTTGTTTTGGACTCTGAGTTGACAAAAATCTACAAAATACAGTGTGTTGTTTTAAGTCACTAAATCAATGGCAATTTGTTACAGCAGCAACAAGAAACTAATACAACTGAAACTGTCATGCTATTGAGGCCACCTGTATTTGCTGGGGTCAACGGTTCTAGACAGGCCCGGCCACATGTAAGTAAACCCTCCTTGGCCCTCTCACCAGCTCATCATGGATCTTGCTGAGTTGAGCTGGGACTATACTTCTCTTATTCCTTTCATTATCTCAACTAAGTCACTAAATACCTTTATTCATGTATCTTCATTGGGGGTATAAAATGTTTTTCTCTTTGAGGGAAAAAAAGCTGGATCATCCCAATCCACCCCAGAGGCTGAGATGGACACAACTGCTTCTTTGTCACACAATCCCAAGGCACAGGCTGTGAAAAACAGGGACAGTGTCTAAACGTGGGAGATCCCTAGAGGAGCATCTCCAGGACAAGCCTTAGTAATGTGTACGTACTCCAGACATCCAGCCCAACATCTGTGTTTTATCTTCTAGCCAATCAAAACCCTACAGGCTACATGCCAAGTTCCCTAAACAAAGCACCTTATCCTATTTTAAATAATCACAAAAAGGCAGTTTAGAATTCTATGAGTAACATATATGGTTGTAGATAATAAAAACTTATCTTAAAGTACACAATTACCACTTATACAGAGAAACAAAAAATGAAAGCTAATGAGTCTGCTACTGATAGAAAATCTCTTCTACTCACCTTGATATCTGCGATACGTAAAACTCTTGTTTTCAAATGTTTCTGTACATTTAACAACACTCCCTAAGAAGCGTCTTTTTTTAAATATTTTATTTTATTTTATGTGTATGAGTGTATTGCCTGCATGTATGAGAGTGCACCCCTGTCGTGCAATGCCACAGAGGTCAGAAGAGGGCGTCGGATTCCCCTGGAACTGGAGTTAAGGATGGTCTGTAGCCGCCATGTGGGTGCTGGGACTCAAACCCGGGTCCTCTTCAAGAGCAGCCAATGCTCTTAACCGCTGAGACATCTCTCCAGCCCCGAGAAGCTTCTTTCTTTCAAATCGCATCTCTCATTCTATGTCCCCAAAAGCCAGCTCTTATCTCTACATATGTCTACAATAAGCAATCATTACACTGTTAGCTATGGAAATTAGCCTCCAACACTCCCATCCTCTGATGGGATATTCACTCCCTGTGTCTTAACCCACAATGTGCCACAGCAATCAGGAGATGCTACTTCTAAGAATGGCTTACAGCACTCACGCCCTTCTCCCCCACACACCAGGAATTGTCTTGAAAGCACTCAGGCAACTCCTTAGAGATATACACATAACCAAGAACTGACACTTCCCACCAGGTGAGTGAGCTCTCTTGGAAATGGATCTTCCGGTCCCAGTCAAGACTTCAGAAAGCCAAAAGCTTAGTTTCAATTTCTCAAGAGACTATGAATAAGAAAATACCCAAACATGCTGCTCCAGGATTCAGCAGCACTGGACATTGAGATGCTTATTCTAAGTCTGTATTTTGAAATAATTTGTAATATAAATAATACAATGACTACTGTCATATTTCAAAAGCAAACTATTGTCTTTTAAAAGGTTTTAAAAATAATTATAACTGGAACTGTTAGTTGTGAAATTTTTGTTTTAAACATCTTGGCTAATACTGAAAAGCAACTGTAACAACGGCAGCTTGCCAGCCCTTCCTACAACAACAAGCCAATAATGCACTGGCAGTGCCATAGGGCCTGCTTCTAGAAAACAGGTCAAGCAAGTAAAAGTGCAACATAAACTTTTTTTATTGAGGAGGAAATCGGTTTGGAATTTTAAAATCAAAAAACCCATCTCACTACAATTAGCTAGGCCACAAAGCCTGCCTTATCTATTAATAAGGAACTAATTCTGAACCTGCATTCATCATGTCACAAATTACATCACATGTCTACTGACCGAATGACACACAACAAAATAAGGACTAAAGTGCCATCAGCAGATCTCACTAGCCAGGACATAGGCGAGTTTTTCTCTGTAATGCTTCCACATAAAAGGCAGAACACTTCATTAGAAGATGTAAGCGCATTTTCCAAGGACACACAGACTTCCTATAATAAGAAATAGCCCTGCCAGGCATGGTGGTGCATGCCTTTAATCCCAGCACTTGGGAGGCAGAGGCAGGCGGATCTCTTTGAGTTCAAGGGCAGCCTGGTCTACAAAGCGAGTTCCAGGCCATCTGGGGCTACAAAGAGACCCTGTCTCAAAAAGACCAGAAAGAAAAAAAAAAAAAATAGCCCTGTAAACTCTAACTTTATTTCATTAGAAAGTACATTTGGTTCACATACATTTAGTACATTAGGTTGGTATTTAAAAACACTATTGAGGGGGCCATCAAGGTGGCTCAGCAGGTAAGGGTGCTTGCAGCCAAGTCCAATGGCTTGACATCGATCCCTGGGTCCTACAGGGTGGAAGGAGAGACCCAACTCCAGCAAACTGTCACCTGACTTCCATATGCACACACTGGTACTACATGCCCACACACAAAAATAAAACCCAACAAAACTAAAATGTAATAAAAAAAATTGAACATTGAAAAATGTGAGGTTTTCATTTGCCAAAAGTAAAAATTATTTCAGCAATAATATGTACGAGCTGTAGTATTCCCAGAGAAACATCCCTTTTACCTTACGTGCTTGATGAATAAGGCAATTTACTAAGACAATTCTATTCCTGTTGTCTCCATAACTACGTGTACTATAATAAAAACAGTAAGTGAGCACCAAGACACACAAAGAATTAAAGCAGCAGCATCTATGTCATTTAATCCCAAAGGCAATGATTTAATCAACAATATTGACAAAAACAGCTGATTTAACTCTGAAGTTCTTAAGCTCATAAACAGGAGAGGCATTCCTATATTTACCTATTTCTCCTGAACAAAGATAACTGAAATTACTAACAGCTTTCTCAAATAACTTAGATAACTAAGCGTAATGGATGCTAACGATAGCTATTGACTGACATTTTTAGGTCCTTTCCAGGATATCTGAAACTATGGTAAATTTAGCTCTATGGAAAATGTAGCTCTCCTACTGCGATTCATTGCCAGCAAGTACAAGAATAACATAGGAAATCCAATTCAGCATTCCTGGGGAACCTGCTTTTCAGTAACTACTGCAAGTCACAGGGCCCACCAGTCTTGCAACATGTTGACAATGCAGCATTTCCAAGAAATTACTTTAGAAAAGGGAAAGTGTGTGTTATACAGTCTTGCCTGAGTGGCAAAAATTGACCTTCTAGTACTGACTACCTATCTTGTTTTTTTGAAAACCACATTTCCGAATGAAATGTTTTTAAACCTAACACAGAAAGCACACATAGGCTACAAACATGACAGTATTCAACTATGATTTTCTATAGCAATGTGATTAACTCACTGAATTGATTGGATGTTGTATTTTCCTGTTAAAGCATTGTGGGTACAAAATTCTCTGAACTGAGAAAAAAGTGATTAAAAGGTACAGCTATAAAGTTTCTTGAGTAGTAAGGATAAGTCATGCTTACATGAGGTAGACTACACTTTCCTCCATTCATGCCCATGGACCAACGATAAACTTTCAACTGTGTCTCAATGCCATGCTCCAAATTAATGTGCTCCACACTTAAGAACTTATGAGGGGGCTGGAGAGAGGGCTCAGAGGTTAAGAGCACTGACTGCTCTCTCCTGCAAAAGACCGGGTTCGATTCCCAGCACCCACATGGCAGCTGCAAACCGTCCTTAACTC